TACCCACTCTTTTGAGTACTAATCATTCTCATTGCTATATTATGGTAATAAAACTAGGGAGTATTAGGAAGCAAGGTCATTTACACATGAAAGTCAACTTGGCTCAATATAAAATGCTTTTAGGGGCCTCTCCATTGTTTTCTGAATGTAGTAGTACAGAGAGGTCAGAAGTCAGAAGTCAGTCTGGTATTTGTTCTTCCATCAAAAACTTGTTTGGGGTTGGGGGTGGTATTTCCCGTCTGAATACTTGCAGCACTTTTTTTTTTTTTTTTTTTTTTTTTTGGTCTTTGGAACTAAAATCTGTTGTCAATATGTGTCTAGGTGTGGGTGTTTTAAAATTGATTTTACCTGGAATTTGTGAGCCCAATCTATACACTCCAATCTTTTTCCAGCCTGGAAATGTTTTCTTCAACAAAGTCATTATCACTTATTTCTGTAGTTCTGGTTTTTGATTAGTAACACTATAAGTCTTAAACTGAATTCCCATTCTTTTTATTTATCAGTATCTATCACTTTTCTTAGTAACATTTATTTTGACTTATCATGTCTAACTCTAGGTTCTTTTCCTGTATATCCTAAAAGACCTCTCAAGGTTTGCCTCCAAATCAATGTTTCCATTTTCTACACTGTCAGTTTTGCTTCTTTCCACCTCCACGAGTGATTTTAATCTTTGATTCTGTTTTTTTGCCATCCATTCTTATCTCATCTCTCTTTGTATCTTGTCTTCTTAACTTTTCATCTTTTCTCTGTATGTGGTTTTCTATAATTCACAGACCATGTGTTCTTGCAATCCAAGATGTTTTTAAAATTTTCTTTTGTTTCCTGTAGTAAAACTGTTTCAGAGGGGGTATTTAGCAAACTGGTGATGCCCTTGGAATAATTACCATGCACTTGATAGTTTACAGATGTGTCAGGATGTAAATTTGTGTTTCATTCTCATATACCCCAACATCTTACACTGGAGGGAAAGGTAGGTCTTTGTTTTCCAAGGTCTTGGCTCTTTTAGCCCCAAAGTGATACTAACAGCTCCTTCATGTTCCAGGAGCCTCTGGAGAAACTACTTCCATAAAGCATTTGTTTGGGAATTATGGACCCTCCCAGGAAGAGGCCAGAACTGTCCCAAAGTGGGAGGGGCTCCAGCCTGGTACTTCTGTGGATTTACAGAAAGATCCAGCCCAGAAAGGGAGTGAATCCCTAGAGTCTGTGAGCTGTGGGACTGAAGTTTCTGCAGGTGGTAGGACACCCCATCTGAGTGCAATATTCTGGAAGAGGCTTCTCTCTGAGGGTGCATGAGTTTCATGTCAGGCCAGCTAAGTGATCATCACCAAAGCCTGCCTTGAGCACTAGCCTCAGTGGGTGGTGAGCACCTGACCTGCACAGAGGCTGGACTGCAGAAGGAGCAGTGCTAAGGGCTGTGACCACAGAGTCGAGGAACAAAAGGTCTGTTCCCAGTTCCAAGAGCTGCATAAACCATTTGACATTTAGCTTCTTGCTGGCCTTAGTAGGTGGAGGGTTCAGTTGCAGATTTCACTGTATTTAAATAATCAAGAAATGTGACTTTTACACTTAGGTTTTATGGAGCAAGTTATCCTGGTTATACATAAATATTGTTCCAGGAAATCCTCAGAATAACCCTACCAAGCAGGCATTAGTTTTCCCATTTTATAGATCGGGAAACAGAGGTGCAAAGTTGGCAGGTAAATTCCCCCAAGGTCCATAGCTCATTTTGGCAGAGTCAGCATGCTGATCCAAGACCACCAGGTGACCGAGCTCTTACCCTATACTCCATTATCGCTAAGGCATGAGGGTCGTGTGAGTCTTCAGCTTTTTGTCTTTCTTCCTAGGAATTTCAGCAGGAAGTTAAACCAGAAACTTCCTTACTTATTTTGCAATCAGTCCCTTTTTTTTTTTTTTTTTTTTTCCATAAACTATGTCTTGGGATTGTTCCTAAAAGTTGATAACCAATGCTGATTTATAAGAGGGGAGAATGACAAAGAGAATTGTTTATTTACTAGTCTTGCAAAATTATGAGAAAAATTTCTAGATTTTTTAAACTAAGGAGGAATACGTTTTATTTTATTTTATTTATTTTTTATTTTTTTGAGACGGAGTTTCACTCTTGTCACCCAGGCTGGAGTGCAATGGCGCGATCTCGGCTTACTGCAACCTCCGCCTCCTGGGTTCAGGCAATTCTCCTGCCTCAGCCTCCTGAGTAGCTGGGATTACAGGCACGCGCCACCATGCCCAGCTAATGTTTTGTATTTTTAGTAGAGACGGGGTTTCACCATGTTGACCAGGATGGTCTCGATCTCTTGACCTCGTGATCTGCCCGCCTCGGCCTCCCAAAGTGCTGGGATTACAGGGTTGAGCCACCGCGCCGGGCAGGAATACATTTTAAAAGGAGGCGGAAAGAAAAAAGAATAAGGGTTAAATTCAAGGAAGAAAGGATAACTTACTTTTCTTTTTGGAATAAAATGCCATGAGTAAAATAAGAGACAAACGACCCTCTACTTTGGAGGACTTTGCATTTGAAAGTGACCAAAGAATTAACAGAAAAAAAAATGAGAATGGTGCCAAATACCTTTGTTAAGGCTAAATATATGGTTATAGCAATCTCTAAGGTTCAGATGGAAATAATGGCAAAGTCTGGCTTTGTATATTTTATAGTCCTGGCTATCTACCAAGTAAGACTCGCATTGTGAGTTATCACATTGTTGTTTTTGGTGAAGAATAACTGCATAACAAACTCAAGCAGTCTTTATAACAAATGCGCTATTGTCCTCCGCATTTTATTATACAGTAGGTGAAATCGCCTCATTAGGCAACGGCTGCCCCTCTGCCCTCTGAGATGCGTGTCTCCTCAGGCACACAAGCCGGGGGTTGAAGGAATAATCTCAACGTGTGTGACCTCCTAGTTTTAACTGCTCCATTTGAAACTCCAAAATAGCTTGTGGCTCTGCTTGGCGAAATCTTTAACATGAGTTTTGAGAAGAAAGAATGAAGTCTTTAAGTTGTAATTCTCCAGAGGATATCAAATAATCATGAGGAAAACCATGAAGTCAATTCACTTCTGACTGTAAATTTCAAAGAAAAAGAGGAGTGACAGAAAATCAAAGACTGATGGAAAACATAGTGGTGTACACTTAGGACTTATTGCACATAAATACTTAGTTTGTTTTCCCTCATCTTTCAAGGGAGTCGTTGTTTTCTTAATATAAATATATATCATTGCATGTTTGTAAGTATGATCCAGGCAGTTTTGTAAATATAGGATGAAACCGGATGAAATTGCTTATACATACTCTGAAGTGCTTGCAGTATCAGAGTCACTTGATTCCAGAGGCGTGCAAGAGAAACATCCCAGACCTGAGGCACAAAGCATGCAATAGCCAAGTGGTCGGTTACAGTCCTAAAGGCAGTTTGACATATTTTTCTCCTCACAAAAGTGCATGCCACTTGTCAAGAAATTCCGCATGCAGTTTTGCTATGCCTTGCGTTACACGTATATAGAGTTACATGTTTAAATATAATTTATGAACAGAGGATGAATAAGCAAAGAATATAAATATATACTGGCTCTGCCTAATGGTGTTTAAGCCTTTGACAAGGTGGTATTCCCTGGTTTCTAGCCTCTCCACCTTCTCCCTGACCAGCCACCACTTAATACTATTTAAGTCAATAATATGGGTTATGAAGTCCTCATTCATAACACAAATTGTCTGTGTACTTTGAGATTCAAAGCTAAAGCACTAGATAAGGTGTGCAGCTATTTTTACCCAGGCATACAGTAAATGATTCATTCATAAAAATTCTCATATGGCTATTTTGCAAGACGAGATATAATTTGCCCCAAGTCCAGAAACCAAGACCTTATTGAGATTATTTAACTTAGTTTTCCCCAGTAGCAAGAATGAAAGGTCAATACTAACCTTTCTAAAAGGTTAGTATTCAAATTTGGCAATAAAAATCCAGCCTGAAGAATATCTATACTCTGTAGGAAATAGAGCTGTAGGAAATAGCCAGGAATGCGGACAAAATTTAAATATAAAGATGCTTATGGAAGTATTAGGTTGGTGCAAAATTAACTGTGGTTTTTGCCGTTACCTTTAATGGCAAAAACCACAATTACTTTTGCACCAAACTAATATATTTACAATAGAGAACATTTGGGAAGAAAAATCTAAGTGTCCCACAATAAGAAAATAGTTAAAGTATGATCTCTCTATGTGAAAGAATATTATGCAGGCATTAAAAAGCATATGTCAGGAAAACTATAATACTAATATACCCAAATGAGAAGCAGCAGTCATGAATAAAAATGAAGATATTAAACTATATACATATACACACACACACTATGATTCAGATAATATAATGTTTATACAAAGAATAAATACTGAAAGAAAATATAGTGAATTATGATAGTTATCATCATTGGGTAGTACTGATTCTATTTTCATCTTTATATTTTTCTGTATTTTCTGTATTTTCCACAATGTCTAATACTAATACATTGTAGGCCTCTGAACAACATGGGTTTGAACCGCATAGGGCCACTTACACTTGGATTTTCTTCTGCCTCTGACACTCGTGAGACAGTGAAACCAACCCCTTCACTTCCTTCTCCTTCTCAGCCTACTCAACATGAAGACAACCAAGATGAAGACCTTTATGACAGTCCACTTCCACTTAATGAATACTAAATATATTTTGCTTCTTTCTTTTTTGAGACAGAGGCTTGCTCTGTCACCAAAGCTCAAGTGCAATGGTGCTATCACGGCTCACTGCAGCCTTGATCTTCCTAGGCCCACATGATTCTCCTACCTCAACCTCCTGAGTAGCTGGAATTACAGGTCCGTGCCACCATGCCTGGCTACTTTTTGTAGATACAGGGTTTCACCATGTTGTCCAGGCTGGTCTTGAACTCTTGGGTTCAATCAAATCTGCCCACCTGGGCCCCCAAAGTACTGGGATTACAGGCATGAGCCACCATACCTAGCCAACATATTTTCTCTTCCTTATGATTTCCTTAAAATTTTCATTTCTCCAGCTTACTTTATTGTAAAACTACAGCATAGAATACATATAGCACACAAAATATGTGTTAATTGCTGATGTTATTGGTAAGGCTTCAGGTTGACAGCAGGCTATTGTAGTGAAGTTTTTGGCAAGTCAAAATTCTATGTTGATTTTCAACTGCACAGGGGGTTCATGCCCCTAGCCCCAGATTGTTCAAGTCAACTGTAAACGTAAAAAAGAATAAACAACACAAATTAAAGAAAATACATCGGGCTCACACAAAGCACTGCACAAAGTATGAAGTTGTAGAATAAAAGCAGTTCTGTAGTCGCATATCTTTCAAACAAGTTATCCATTTATCAACCTCACTCAAGAACTCAAAAGCCCTCAACGGTAAGAAAAATGCCCAAATGGGCTCTAGGAGCTTTGGAGTGTAAACTACTCAAGATCTTCTCACATGCTAAGGACACCGAGGACTCTGTCTGTTTATCTGCAGACAGAGGTTTATAGAGTTCCTTTGGAAGAATTTATCTGCCTGTCCCCATAAAACATGACCTTGCAAGTCAATGTCAGTCAAATCTGAGAGAGGGGCAGGGGCCCCCAGGTAACATAATGCGCCAGAACACGTCTGCAGCTCTGACAGGTGCAAACAACTCCACTCGGCTAAATATAAATTGACTTGGGCAGTTTGGAAGCAATCTTTCTCACTTACTATTCTGATCAAGCAAAAGAATGTTCTCTTCTTTAGCTCTGACTCCCAAGGCTGGTTATTTTTATTTACATTAATTTTGCAATCATTTTCATTCAAAGAAAAGCAAGTTAGAAGTCACACACACACAAAAAAAAAAAAAAAAAGAAGAAGAAAGATTTCTCTTCCAAAATCTCCGATAAGAATAGGACTAGGTCTGAGCTGTTTTTGAAATACATTAAGTTGAGAAGGAGATAAAACATTTGCAATCTTTTTTAAAACTTTCTGGATGAGCAGAAAGCTGATGTGAACACCAGTATAAAGGAACATTGTTTAATATTTAAGCCAGAAAGAGGACCTAACTTTTAATCAGCAGAGTGGAAATACTTTGGGTACTTAACAAATTCTGTGTCTTTGCCAATTCCTGCCATGCTCCCTGACATGACCCTTTAACTCTAACTACTCTTCCAGGATCCTGCTCAGTGGTCTCATCTCTGGGATCATCCTCTGGTCATCCTCTTCCCCACCCACTCTGCTGCTAAACACACAGAGTCTTCCTCTTAACTCTCCTAATACAGAGACTTACCTTAACATACATTTATTACAAATCCATATTTTTTAGCCTATGAGCTTCTCAGGGGTAAAATTATATTTCACTTATTTTTTCCATGTTCAGCATCCAGGCTTAAGGGGGTTCCTTAGTAATATGTTGTTGAATAAATAAGTGAATACATGAATGAATGAAGAGAGGACCAAAGAAGACACACATAAGCCTAAATGCAAGGAAGACAATGGACAGTGCTACCACTAATAGCCATGAAAAAGAGCAGTTTATGGATGAATAATAATTTGCTATGCTTAGCCACTGCTGTTTTCTGGTTTAGTGTTTTCTGTTTTGGTTTGGTTTGGTTAGGGAGGGAGGTTTATTAAATGAAATTAAAGCTAAAACCCAATGCCAGATATAATAGAGGGAACTTGGTGTGCATTGACTGATGCACTAAGCATTGAAATTTTCCATTTTCACTTTCCCTTTTTGTTGCCATAAAATGAGAAGGTAAGCCAGGTTCGTGTCTGAGGGTGGGTCCAGCTCTCAGGTTCTGGGGCTCTGGACTGCTGTGTCTCCTGCTGAAGCCACCCTCTGAGCTTGCATCTCAACTCTATCCTGATGGCAAAGACTGTGCTCTTTTCAAACTCAGATGCCACCCTCCTACCTACTAAGACTGTGGTGTGCCACAACTAAGTTTAATCCCTCTCTCCTGGTCTGAAATAGTCATCTAAACCACAGGGGAAATTATTGTCTATGGTTTCCTAGATCCATGCAAGAAAAATGCTTCCAAACCCTAATGCTACAAAGCTGTATTTACTTGTCCCAACTCTTTCCTGGTGTGGTTCGGATTACTCTTTGTCTGCATACCTTTTGCAATACCTGTTGGCTCTTCATCTTTGCCCACTCCTCCAGCATGCTCACTACACTTGAGAAACTTAGCCAGAACTTGGCTTAAAAATCTTCAACCTACTCATCACCTAACAAGAGCAGATTTAAAGTTGGCAGAGGGAATATTGCATAGAAACCCTATTTGCTAACCACCTACCAATAGATGATTTCACAGGTGGTCCCTTATCAGATCTGCCCATCTGAAAAGAAGGAATAAGATTAATAATCACCCTTCAGACAGGAAGACTCCCTCCAGGAAAGCTTTCTATAGAGCTAAAGGCTTGTGTTGGGTTATTGTCGCCGATTAGTGTTTTAGGCTTGCAATCCTAGTAAAACTGGAAGCCGAGCTTATATCCCTTATAGTAAATTTCCCAACTGCCATATTCAACATAATCAGTCTTCAGAAAGCTAAATATATCCAATGGGAAAGACTGGTCTTTCTTTACATCCTTTCTGCATTTTGTTGTTACTGCTATTAAAGAGTACTTTTAAAAATAAAAATAAGGCCAGGCGCGGCGGCTCACACCTGTAATCCCACCACTTTGGCAGGCCGAGGTGGGCAGGTCACAAGGTGAACAGAGCGAGACCATTCTGGCCAATATGGTGAAACCCCGACTCTACTAAAAATACAAAAATTAGCTGGGCATGGTGTCGTGCGCCTGTAGTCCCAGCTACTCGGAAGGCTGAGGTGGAGGAATCTCTTGAACCCAGGAGACGGAGGTTGCCGTGAGCCGAGATTGCACCACTGTACTCCAGCCTGGCGACAGAGCAAGACTCTGTCTCAAATAAATAAATAAAATAAAAGGATGGTAATAGAAGACGGTAGGGTTTGTTTATTTTAATGTCTTTCTTGGCAGTTTAAAAAGTTGGCAATCCTATATCAATTTCTAATATTTTTTTTCCTAAAACTTTACTGGTCATTAAAATTAGAAAACTGGTAGCCTTATGTCTAAAGTGGCTAGTTCAGATTAAGTTACATGTAAACTGAAAAAAAGAAGAGCCTCTGATTCAAACTCTTTATCTTTTTTTTCTAAAATCATTTTCTATAGACCTCAAGGTGCATAATATGTGTCACGGAGGCCCTGTAGATTTAGGTAGTGATTATAACAGACTCACGTCAGGACGTTTCTTCTGAAGTGCACCTACCTGTGAAACCCTCCATATCTGGGACTCTCTGTGCCACGGCTGTCAGTCCTTTGCAAACAGCCCTGTCATTCTAACGGGATGCTTTCCTATAGGAAGTTGCCCCTGCCCCCTGGCGCCCGTCCTCGGGCTTCTGATGAAACGGTGACCCACCACCCCCTTCCGGTACCCTGGACCGCAGCCCGATCACTCCGGGCACGTTGCCGATCACGTGGCGGAGCAGTGCTCCGGGGAGCCGCGGCCCCGCATCCATTGGTCGGCGGCTGGAGTCCTGGGCGCACCCATTGGCTGCGGGGGGCGTTCACGTGAAATGGGGTCCGGGATGGAATCCTGAGTCCCCAGAGGTGGCCGGAAAGTTAAAGGGGGCAGAGCGGCCGCGGGGAGCTGGAGTCCCGGGTAACTGCCAGAGGTAGGAGGCGAGCGCACCGCTCTTGCCTACGGACTGACGCGGCCGCCCGCTGGGGGCGCGAACCCGAGACTGGCGCCCGGCTCCTGCCATCGCTACTGCTGTCCCTGTTCCCCCGCCACCACCGCCCAGCGGGCGGATGCTGCCGCAGGCTGGCACGTCTGCCCTCGGGACTTATGAGCTGAACCCGGTACGTACTTCCCCAAGCCTCGAGTCCGAGGGAAGGGCCGGGGACACCGAGGCGAGGGCGTGCAGCGGGGACCTGTTTGGGTTCCTGCCACCTACACTTTCACCGTGAGACTTGCACTGTCACGCCGGCGCTGCAACACTCTAGGTGGGCCCCAGGGAGCTGTTGCTTCAACGTGGAGAGTGCGATTCAGGGACCGCAGCTGGGATGCGCCTGGCGCGCCCACGTGTTCCACCGAGCTGCTGGGCCCCGCTGCGACGGTGACCCGGGAGCTGCGGCTGGGCAGCTGATTGCTTTGCCACCTGTTGTTCTGGTTTCCAGCCTCTCACAAGTTCCCAGGCCCGGGTCGCGACAGGTCCGGAGATGTCTCCAAAGTTGGGTAGTGGTGTTTGGAGCTTAAAAACAAGCCGCTTCGTCTCTCTTTGGGCCTCAGTTTCCCTATGCAACGTGAGGAAATGCACTTGGTAGGCTCTCAGGTCTCAGGTCGCCGAGGGCGACGGGACCTAGGACGATCCCTCGTCCCGGGCCTGCGGGGGCCAGACGGCCACGGGAGGGTGCTGGCGTCGCGCTGCTCGCACCGGCCGGGGTTGCCCGGTTGTCGGCCCCACCCGGGTGCGATAACAGGCTCCTCCTCCTTGTCGTCTTCCTCCCCCCGCCGACATCTCCGGGAACCCAGCCCAGGCCCTGCCTCCCGGACACACCGAAGCTCACGTAGTCGGGCAGCGGTGGCCGCCCTTGCCACAACCCTGCAGGCTCTCCGATGAAGCGAGCGAACTGGGGAGGGGGCTTTTCCGCCGCCCAAAAGGTGGGTGCAGCGCGAGGCCAAGGAGGCTTGTAGGGAGGTTGGGGGCGGAGTGCAGCCCTGGCTGAGCTGGACGGAAGGGACAGGGTCGGAGAGTGACTTCTGGGATCCTCCAGCCTGGAGAGCACTGGCCTTTCCTGTCTCCCTTTACAACCCAAAGAAAGGGGTGTGGATGGCACAGTAGCTGCTAAAGAGCGATTGGGGGCCAGTAATGACTTACCGGGAGATTTGGGGCCTGTTAGGGCATTGTATTCTGAAAAAGTGGAGAAAAGAGGAAAGACTGGACTTGGGAACTGGGAGAGTCGGTGGAAGGTATTGGAGACTGTGGTCTGAGTGGCAGAGTCTGCTTGGGAGACCCAGGGTGCAGCAGAAGAGACAAGTCAGGCTTTGGCCTGGGAGGAAGAGGAGGAGAGGAAGGAACGGTTCCTTGGGTAGAGTTGTCCAGGAGCCAAAACTAAAGTGAATACAGCTGGAGGACTTACCACAAAAGTACAGTTGAGGTATTTAGGGAAAAAAGTTAGAGGGAAGAGAAGCGTCACCAGGCATGGGTCGCAACATACAACGTCAGGTCCAGCAGGGACCTTGGAGGGGCACCTCAAGCCCAGAAGGGTTGAGTGACTCGCTGAAGTAGCACAGCAAGGTGCGGGCATTCTTAGCCTAGTGCCCTGTTTTCCCTTGTATGTTTTTCAACGGCATGGGCGGTGTCATTTGAACTTGCCTTTTTCCTAGAATATGCAACCTCATTCACAAATATCAATCTCCAATATGCTTTGGATGATGAGGATGGAATCAAGGGGTACAAGTAGCCTTTAAGGCTGTGTGAATAGGGCCCCATGGTCTGAGCACAAAGGGGAGAGACGTGCACTCTCTCCACTCTGGATCAGTCAAACCTTTTGGAAGGGAATAAAGAATTATTGGAGGGAGGTAGGTGGCCATATCTTTAAAAATGAAAACTATAACCTGGTTATGAATGTTTACTTAATGCAATTTGGCAGTTTTCAGTGTTCCTGGTAGGTTGTTTGTGCATCTGTGTGTGTGTGTGTGTGTTATCAGAAGAGAGAGAGAGAGAATGAGTGAATGGAGGGGATAATGTGGCCCTAATTTTTTAAAAAAGATTTGTTTCCTATAAAAGGTACAGCCAGAAAGTCAGTAGCTTAGCTGCCTGAAACCGTGAAGGTCATGGGGTTATTTTCTGTGCAGGTCTGTAGTTTTCTCAAGAAAAATCACCATGGCTGCCTAACCTTGGCCAGCTGTCTTGAGAAGGTGTGCTGTCATTAGTGGAACAGAGAAAGCATTTATGGAAATCTATCTCCATGCTGTGTTAGGGTCTGCCCTGTCTTAGCCATGAATACTGAAATCTACCCTGAAGCATGGCCCAGTCCCTCACCAGGGAAATTGATCCCTTATCTCTGAGGCATCTCTATGGAAGCCCGTCTTTGAGAATTCATACCTACCTGGGAGCAGCACTCATACACTCTTGTTCCTGTCCTGCAACTGTCCTGCTCTCCTGGTTCAAATGTATGTCCATAGCTTCTGGTTCTTCTTTTTTTTTGTCTCCTGGCCAACTTTGGTGACTCATATTCCCTGGCCTGGGAAAAGGACAGAGCTGGAGCAGCCAGAGAGTCTGTCAGGAGAGGAGGCCTGGGGTGCAGCCTGGTGCATCCTGTGTTAGAACCGATCATTTTCATGTCATTTGCAAAAGAAGCACCTGTCCAGGTGCTTTCTTTTCAGTAACTTAATATTACCTTGCACAGCTCAGTTGCTAGGAGTTCTTCCGAATGACGGCAACCATCCCTGTCACCATCTATTGGGGAATTCCTGAGCAGATCAGGAAAGCCTGCATCAAACCAACACTTTGGTGTGCTGATTCTTGGACAATGATCAGGGAAAGAAAAGCTGGAATCTGTCTGTGAGGACAGGCAAGATGACTGACAGTTGAGTCACACCCCAGATTGAGGCCACACAGGTTAGTGTCCTCACCTGCAGTTATGGTGACACACAAACAAAGTGAAGTGATTCTAGACTGAGTTTGCTTGTGCAATGTCTTTGGGGCAGTAGCCCTCCTGGGCCATCATAACCCTACTTTTGCCCTTCATGGAAGAATCTTGCAATAGCAATTTGGCTCCTGCAAGTGCTGGCAAAATTGTTTAATTTGCTCTGGCTCTGACTAGAGCCTGGCCTCTCCAACCCAAACTTCTGCTTGTTCTTACAACTTGGTGATAAAAGGGATCTCAGGGGCAAATTTATGCCACCAGGTTGAAAGAATGGAACTCTACCAAGGTCTTCAGCTAAGTCTCTTCAGCCTGCAGGATTAGAACTTGGGACAGTGGCTTTCGTGGGCTGCAAGTGTGTAGATTCTTTGATTGATCCTTTTGCTTTGGAATTCTGTTTCCACAGTATCTTGAGAGTTTCCAAGCCTTTTTCTAACATGCAGGAAAGTACATAGGAGATTGGTTTACAGGCTTGTTGGAGGAGCATAGAGAACTTGCAGCTGACCTGTGCTAACTCAGGTGAGGAGGAAGCTGTAAAGAAGAACCCCTCCTCCCTCAATTCACACCCAGATTGTTAAGGATGGGTAGAGTGGGGGTCACTGGGATAACAGATATAGCCTCGTTTGGTTTTCATACTTAACTAAAAATGAGGCCGGGCACAGTTGCTCACACCTATAATCTCCTCACTGTGGGAGGCTGAGGCAAGCAGATCACAAGGTCAGGAGTTCGAGACCAGCCTGGCATGGTGAAATCCCATCTCTACTAAAAATACAAAAATTAGCCAGGCACAGTGGCATGCACCTCGGGAGACTGAGGCAGGAGAATTGCTTGAATCTGGGAGGTGGAGGTTGCAGCTGAGATCGCTCCACTGCACTTCAGCCTGGGTGCAGAGCAAGACCCCGTCTCAGGGGCAAAAAAAATGAGACAAAACAAAAACACTACTTGTGTTAAAGTTAGAGCTGAGGTTAGAATTCCAACACAGTTTTGTGAAGAACAAGAACTAAAATTTAGATAATTTGTAAGTATAGGATTTTTTTTTTTAAACGTTGAACCTGTTAGTCAATCCATTGAATCTGTGTAAACCTATTTTGCCTAATTCAGTCAGAACTTTCCTTTCCAGAACAGTTATGTGGGTATAAGAACACATAATTGAAAGCATATTTGCCCTTAAAATTTTCACTAGATTGAGTTTCTTAGAGGGGAAACAGTGAGACAGATATCCTTTAAAATGCATGTTTAAGCATCTGCATTCTGGCCATAAGTTATTGTTTTATATGGTTCTGAGGCCGGGCGCGGTGGCTCAAGCCTGTAATCCCAGCACTTTGGGAGGCCGAGGCGGGTGGATCACGAGGTCAAGAGATCGAGACCATCCTGGTCAACATGGTGAAACTCCGTCTCTACTAAAAATGCAAAAAATTAGCTGGGCATGGTGGCACGTGCCTGTAATCCCAGCTACTCAGGAGGCTGAGGCAGGAGAATTGCCTGAACCCAGGAGGCGGAGGTTGCGGTGAGCCGAGATCGCGCCATTGTACTCCAGCCTGGGTAACATGAGTGAAACTCCGTCTCAAAAAAAAAAAAAAAAAAATTTAAAAATTAAAAAAAAAATTTATATGGTTCTGAATATGTGCATTTCTCTGACTGGCCATCTGTTAGTGCTTCTTGCATCCCCAGGGAAGTGCTCGACTTTTGGAAAAATGGGGTCAAATCTGATATGTGTTTGTTCTCTCACATTTTTTCTTTACGTGTTTGGTTAATCACAATCAAAAGGTGAAAATGAGAGGTCATTTATTGGACTGAACCAGTGGTCCCAGCTCTTGACAGAAGACAGTTGACATGTTGCCTGTCACCTCTCCGGGTGGCCATGACTGCTCGAGAGTGAGCACCCTAACACATCATCACAGACCTACGCCTGTGCCATAGGGAGGGGAGACAGGTTTGCGGACTCATCCAGATCCTGTGTTCTGTGATTCTCAGACTTGAGATTTTAATCCTAGTCTTGTCACTCATTTCCTTAATTTACTCCACTGAAACTGCCAAATCAAAATATAAATTTGTCCTGGTAATTAGAATGATAAAAAGTGCTCAGACTCTGGGAGGCCGAAGCGGGAGGATTGCTTGAGCTCGGGAGTTTGAGACCAACCTGGGCAACATGGTGAGACCCTGCCTTATAAAAATTGAAAAATTAGCTGGGCATGGAGGTGCACACCTGTAGTTTCAGCTACTTTGGAGGCTGAGGTGGGAGGATTGCTTGGGCCCAGGAGTTTGAGGTTCCAGTACACTATGATTGCACCACTGCACTCCAACCTGGGCAACACAGCAAGATCCTGTCTCAAAAAAAGTGCTCAGCTTTAGTAAGACAGTAGTGTTGGGATGGGTTTTTGGCATATCTTAAAATATTTGAGGATTTTTTTAAGGTTCATTTTGTTCTGATGATAGACGCAATATTATTTTAGAAGATATAAGACAATACAAACAAGGAAACCAGAAATTCCTGAAATCTTGTCACCTAGGTATTCTGATTTTAAATATATCTCTAGTCTTTTTTCTCTGCATTTACATAATACAGTTGACCCTTGAACAACATGGGGTCTAGGGGAACCTAGCCTCCAACACAGTCAAAAATCCACATATAAGTTTCAACTCCCCAAAACCTTCACTTCTAATAGCCTACTGTTGGCCAGAGTCTTACCAATAACATGAACAGTCAACTAACACATATTTGTATTTTATATGTAATGTATACTGTATTCTTATAGTAAAGTAAGCTAAAGGAAAGAAAATGTTAAGAAAATCATAGAGAAGAGAAAATGCATTTACTATTCATTAAGTGGAAGTGGGTCATCAAAAAGGTCTTCATTCTCACCCTCTTCACATTGAGTAGGCTGAGGAGGAAGAAGAGAAGAAGGGCTTGGTCTTGCTGCCTCAGGGGTGGCAGAGGCAGAAGAAAATCTGAGCATAAGTGGACCTAAAAAGTTCAAACTCATGTCATTCAAGGATCAACTGCATTTTTCCCCACAAGGCTAGTTTCTATGAACTATGTACAATTTGTCTTCACTCTCTCTGTCTCTTTCTCATAAATATATATATATATATATAAATATATCTTTTTCTATTCATTTTAATTCTTTTTTAAAACAATGGCTTTAATGATGATATAAAATTACATCACATGGGCCAGGTATGGTGGCTCCTGCCTGTAATCCCAGCACTTTGGGAGGCCCAGGCAGGTGGATCACCTGAGGTCAGGAGTTCGAGACCAGCCTGGCCAACATGGTGAAACCTTGTCTCTACTAAAAATATAAAAATAAGCAGGTGTGGTAGCAGGCTCCTGTAATCCCAGCTACTTGGGAGGCTGAGGTAGGAGAATCACTTGAACCTGAGAGGTGGAGGTTGCAGTGAACAGAGATGACACCATTGCACTCCAGCCTGGGTGACAAGAGTGAAACTCTGTCTCAAAAAAGGAAAAAAAATAATAATAAAAATAAAAGTACATCACATGGATGTAGTGCATTTGATTTAACCAGGTCCCTGTTATTGGTCATTGGGGTTATTGTCACTTTTTCGCCCCTCTAATGTGGCACTGAACATTTTAGTACATTAACCTCTATGCATTTTTTAATTCTTTACTCAGGATAAATGTCTCTATGTGATATTAGAATAAAAATGATTCAAAAATTAGAAAGATTGTGCCAATTTAAACTAATGAAAATGTTTGCATTGGTTGGGCACAGTGGCTCATACCTATCAATCCCAGCATTTTGGGAGGCCAAGGTGGGAGGACTGCTTGAGTCTGAGAATTCAAGACTGGCCTGGGCAACATAGTGAGAACTTGTCTCTATAAAAAATGTTTTTTAAAAATTAGCCGGACATGGTGGCTTGTGCCTGTGGTCCTAGCTACTTGGGAGGCTGAGGTGGGATGACTGCTTGAGCCCAGGACATGGAGGCTGCCATAAGCCGTGTCCACACCACTTCACTCTAGCCTAGGTGACAGAGTAAAACCCAGTATTTAAAAAAAAAAAAAAAAAAGTTTGCATTATCTTTTAAAATTTTTTTCATAATTTAATAGGTAAAAACATACATTGTTTTTAATCTAAATTTCTTAAATTAATAATAAGGTTGAGCATTTTGCATATTTATAGGCCACTTTAAAATTTTTTTCATGAATTTTCTATTCATGTTCTTTGCTTACTTTTCTATGTGGAATATTTGTATTATTGCTTTGTAAGAACACTTTACATATTAAGGTATTGGCTCTGCTGCTATGCTTATTGTGAAATATTTTCACAGTTTGTCTTTAATATTTTTTACTTATTTTTACTTATAGAAGAATATAGTTTTTGTTAACTCAGATTTATCTTCTTTTAGCATGATATTATTTGATTTTTATTCTTACAGAGGCTATTTTTCACTTGTGGAAAAAACAAATATTCACCTATGTTAAAGGTTTAAAAATACTAAATTGTTGGTTCTTTTTATTTTTATTTTTTGAGAGGCAGTCTCACTCTGTCACCCAGGCTGGAGTGCAATGGTGTGATCTCTGCTCACTGCAACCACCACTTCCCGGGTTCAAGCAATTCTCCTGTCTCAGCTTCCCGAGTAGCTGGGACTACAAGTACATGCCACCATGCCCAGTGAATTTTTATATTTTTAGTAGAGACGAGGTTTCACCATGTTGGTCAGGCTGCTCTCGAACTTCTGACCTTGTGATCTGCCCACCTTGGCCTCCCAAAGTGCTGGGATTACAGGTGTGAGCCACCGCACTTGGCCTGCTAGTTCTTTTTAAAAGAATGGCTTCCTGACATTTAAAAACCTATCATAAGCTGGCCTGGCTTGGTGGCTCACACCTGTAATCTCAGCACTTTGGGAGGCCAAAGTGGGTAGATCATGAGGTCAGGAGTTCAAGACCAGCCTGACCAACATGGTGAAACCTCGTCTCTACTAAAAATATACAAAAATTAGCTGGGTGTGGTGGCACATGTCTGTAATCCCAGCTACTCAGGAGACTGAGGCAGGAGAATCACTTGAACCTGCGAGGCGGAGGTTGCAGTGAGTGGATATTGTGCCACTGCACTCCATCTTGCACAACAGAGTGAGACTTCGTCTCAAAAAAAAAAATATCCTACCATAAGCTTAATGAAAGTAGGGTTGTATCTGTCTTCATGATTAAATCCCACTGTCTTGCTGGATGCCTGGCATATGGGAAACACCCAATCCATATTAGTGGGATGAATCCATTTCTTTTTATCGGATTGTAGCAAATATAAAACCACAAAGAGATGTCACATCACACTTGTTAGGATCGCTATTTTCAAAAAGACCAAAGACAATAAATATTGGCAAGGATGTGGAGAAAACAGAACCCTTGTCTCCTGCTGGTGGGAATGTAAATTAGTACAGCCATTATGGAAAACAGTAGGGAGTCTCCTCAAAAGACTAAAACTAGAACTATTCTATGACTCAGCAATCCCACCACAGGACATATATTCCAAGGAATTTAAGTCAGTGTATCAGAGAGTTATCTGCACTCTTATGTTCATTGCAGCATTATTCACCAAGCCAAGATATGGAATCAACCTCAGTGCCCAATAGCGGATGAATGAATAAAGAAAACATGATATATAAACACAGTGGAATACTATTCGACTTGAAAAAAGAAGGAAATCCTGTCATTTGTGCCGACATGGATGAACCTGGAGGATGTTAAGCAAATAAGTCAGGCACAGAATGACAAATACAGCATGATCTTGCTTATATGTGGAATCGGAAACAGTCAAATTCATAGAAACAGAGAATACAGTGGTGGCTACCAGAAGCTGGGGGTGGAGGGACTGGAGAAGGTATCCTTTCGCCAAAGGGTACAAAATTTCAGGTAGACGGGAGGAATAAATTCAAGACATCTACTGTACAATATGGTGACTACACTTAGTAATGATACGTTATATACTTGAAAATTATTGAGAGTGGATTTTAAGTGTTCTCACTACAAAATAACATGTGATGTAATGCATGTTAAATAGCTTGATTTAGCCATTCCACGATGTATACATATATAGAAACATCATGGTGTATACCATAAGAATACACAATTTTTACTTCTCAATTAATAAAGTGTGGACAGGGAGGCTCACACCTGTAATCCTAGCACTTTTAGAGGCCAAGGCAGCAGGATGGATTGAGCCCAGGAGTGTGAGACCAGCCTGGGCAACATAGCGAGACCTGTCTCTACAAAAAAATTTTAAAATTTAGCCAAGCATGGTGACTTGTGCCTATGGTCCTAGTTACTTGGGAGGCTGAGGTGGGAGGATCACTTGAGCCTAGGAGATCGAGGCTGCAGTGAGCTGTGGTCACACCACTGCACTCCAGCCTGGGCGACAGAGGGAACCTTGTCTCTAAAAATACATAAATAAATAGTGTCCCTCAGGACAGTTATCTATGGAAGATACCTTTATAATCAAATAGGTTTGGGAAATTTTAAAACAGTATATGCCCTTTTAATGATCCTCTGTGGCACATTAGCCAACGGAAGGCCCCAAGAAATGCTGATGAAAAAACCTGTTCATTTAGTTTTAAAACTAGTGAGTTGCATACTCTTTTGTTTTAACCTTGAATCCCCCATCTTGTCCCCTCCCCAACATAATCTTCCCTAAAACCGGTGTTGTGCTGGACCACACTGGAGTTAATCCTGACCTGTAGCCATGTGGGCAGAGATAAAAGGAAACATTGTTTGCCAGTCCCTGCTGGAATAATGCGTTTACATACCTATCCGATCTGATCGCTCTGCTGTTTTCTCTCTTCTCTCTTTCTAGGATTCTAGCCTATTCATCTAGCTCCATGATGGCTGTGGATATCGAGTGCAGATACAACTGCATGGCCCCTTCCTTGCGTCGAGAGAGGTTTGCCTTTAAGATCTCACCAAAGCCCAGCAAACCACTGAGGCCTTGTATTCAGCTGAGCAGCAAGAATGAAGCCAGTGGAATGGTGGCCCCGGCCGTCCAGGAGAAGAAGGTGAAAAAGCGGGTGTCCTTCGCAGACAACCAAGGGCTGGCCCTGACAATGGTCAAAGTGTTCTCAGAATTTGATGACCCGCTAGATATCCCATTCAACATCACCGAGCTCCTAGACAACATTGTGAGCTTGACGACAGCAGAGAGCGAGAGCTTTGTTCTGGATTTTTCCCAGCCCTCTGCAGATTACTTAGACTTTAGAAATCGACTTCAGGCTGACCATGTCTGCCTCGAGAACTGCGTGCTCAAGGACAAGGCCATCGCAGGCACTGTGAAGGTTCAGAACCTTGCATTTGAGAAGACCGTGAAAATAAGGATGACATTTGACACCTGGAAGAGCTACACAGACTTTCCTTGTCAGTATGTGAAGGACACTTACGCCGGTTCAGACAAGGACACGTTCTCCTTCGACATCAGCTTGCCCGAGAAGATTCAGTCTTATGAAAGAATGGAATTTGCTGTGTGCTACGAGTGCAATGGACAGACACACTGGGACAGCAACAGAGGCAAGAACTATAGAATCATCCGGGCTGAGTTAAAGTCTACCCAGGGAACGACCAAGCCCAACAATGGACCGGATTTGGGAATATCCTTTGACCAGTTTGGAAGCCCTCGGTGTTCCTATGGTCTGTTTCCAGAGTGGCCAAGTTACTTGGGATACGAAAAGCTAGGGCCCTACTACTAGTGACTGCAGGTGACAGGGCGTGGCGGAGCTGCTGCAGACAAGCCTAGCTCTGCTCACTGCGCAGTGGAGATGGAAGGCCAGGGAAGAGCAAAGTGGGACTTCCATGAGGCCCAGTTTTGGAAAATCAAAGGATCCTCTTTACTTCATAAACCAGCAAATCCAGCCAGGTTCAGATTACACAACCGGTGTCGCACTCAAAGGAGTGGTGGTGGCTGGCACGCTTTGGCACTGTGGCAGCCACGAGTGTCTGTGCAGGTCAGTGCTGGAAAGGGAACCAAGCCTGTGCCAGTGCTGATGAAGCTGGAGGAGTCTCTCTTCTGCTCTTCAATCAGATGTGGGACATCAGTCGCTGAAAGCCGCTCAGCCCCTGCCGCCTCCTGTCGGACCCTCACTGTTCGTCGTGTTCATCTTTGGGTGCTTTCTGCTAGCCAGGCCTTTCCTGCAAGCTGCTGCAGGTCCCCCGTCTACGTGTACTTCATGCTTTTTCTCTGCACTGTGACACACTGACCTGATGCATATTTCTAATGCAACTGCAGAGGAGAAATGAGATTGGTTCCTGTTTTCTGCACGTTCATCTTTTGCATTTGATGTTCAGGAAAAGATGATAAAGGCAAATTAGCTTGTGATTGAAACAGGCATTTCCTCTCCCCTCTTCTTGGCCCTGTAGATTATTCCAGCGGAGAGCAACACACCAGTCATCAAAAGCCACTGGCTCCTGGGCAGTGTCACAGAGTGCGGGGCTCTGACAAGGCAGGACGGTCATGAGTGGGGACACTTTCAGCTTCTCCTATTGCCTTCTGAGAGGAGCTCTCCAAGTCCCCACATTTCCCCTGAGTTGCTGGAAGGCTCAGTGACAAGATTTGTTTTAACTTGCTTGGCTGGTTTGTCTCATTCTTTATGAAAGAATTTTGGATCTCCCTTCCTGAAGAGTCATCTTTTCTGCTGTGTTTCGGACATTTGATTTGCAGATCCAATATCTCCTCGAAGCCTTCAGAAAATGGTTTTATTTTGACTGTGATTTACAATATCTAGAACATTTTACCAGCACCCAGGGACACGGATTTGGGTGTTCTTATTTATGGTGTGTGAATATGTAAAGGGATAAGGGAGAAAAACCTCACCCAAGGTGTTATACATTATTTTAAATGTTTGCCATCTCTGAAATTTCAGAGATTAATTGTTCTTAACCATATTGGACTAAAGTCTGTTGGTTAGTGCTGTTGTAAAAGAGACCTCCGGGGCTCACGCCTGTTATCCTAACACTTTGGGAGGCCAGGACGGGTGGATCACCTGAGATCAGGAGTTTGAGACCAGCTTGGCCAACATGGTGAAACCCCATCTGTACTGAAAATACAAAATTTATCCAAGTGTGATGGTGGGCGCCTGTAATCCCAGCTACTTGGGAGGTTGAGGCAGGAGAATCATTTGAACCCAGGAGGTGGACGTCGCAGTGAGCAGAGATCATGCCACTGCACTGCAGCCTGAGCGACAGAGTGAAACTGTGTCTCAAAAAAAGAAAAAAAAAAAAAAAGAGAGACCTCCGGGACATTCATTTTCAGATACAGCCCAAACCTGTGATTTTTCTTGAGTAAGATTGGTGTTTACTTAGGGGTGCTTTAAAAATATTTTTTTACATGTATATTTGTAGGAAGTTGGATTTTTTTTTTTCTATTTTTGTTTTTGGAGTTTGGCTAAATGACTCTTATTTTCTGTTTGCCTGATCTTACTAAAGTGAGATCTTGCTTCCTAAGGCAAGCAAGAGGAGGAGTGGAAGCACAGTTGCCTGGATTTGGAGGCACAGCTGTCAGGCTTTTCAAGCTAAGAGTCTTGTGCTTGGATTTTCTAGATTAATTTGAAAAGACCTCTCATATGTGGCTTTGTACATAACTAACAAACAGGCAGATATGGAGTGCCTTGCCTCCTAGAGCTTTGTGGTTGGGTTAGGTTGTTTTTGTTTTGTTTTTGTTTTTGTTTCTGAAGTTTAAAATGCCTTGACTTTTTCGATGATCTTAAGTGCTGTTTCATGTAATTCTTATTCCTAAAACTGGCTGTTCTTAGCCTGAAATCTAATGCTTTGCTTTTTGTACCTCTCCCAGGCAGGTAACACTCTAGGATTACAAGATAATATAATTTTAGGGGAAAAAATATTTTTACCTTATGCTGTTACTGGGCAGAACTAGGTTTTATATAGACATACCAGACATCAGGTACACAGACAGTACTTTAAATGTTATAAATTTGGTGATCAGAACTATTAATGGCATAAATCATACAAAGATGGAAACAAAACTGATTTCATGTGGGTCCTGAATTTTACTTTAAGAAGTGCCCTCCCTGCAATGCAGGAAAGGCAGAGTGTGCTGTCATTGACATGTTACCCAACTAAGGATCATTCTGTGCTCATAAGAAAAAGGCCTCAAAGTGACTCTGTTTAATAAAGTCAGTTTAATTTTACCTAATAATGATCTTAAGACATTCCCATGTCAAAATTTGAAATATGGTAATTCACTGATAACTATCTCTTCTAAAGCAGCCATAAACCCTCTTTCTCTCAGCTCACACCAGGTTTTTTTTTTGCTGGGGGCGCTGGTTGCAAGCCCCCAGCCAGCACACCTGGGATGCTCACCCCACTGCACAGTTCAGAAGGCAAGTCCTCACCTGCTTGCAAAGACCCCTCTTCTCCAATAAAAGACTCTACTTGCCTGACTTTCCTCATCAGGGCTGTCATTCAGTGATGTATGCGGGTCTGAAGAATACTGTCTTCTATCTGGCTTCTGTTTACCACTTGTTCCCCTACTATCCTCCTGCTGGAAACAGTCTTTTTCCTTTTGTCTCCGTTCTGTCCCATGAAATTCTCAGATGGCCTCAGGAGCTGCACCAATGGATTCTCTCCCTGTTTGATAGCTCATCATCAGTAGATAAGCCTACATAGTTCAGAGGGTGACAGGTTTCTTAGTTGGAGACTTCACTGCAGCCTGACTTGTAGGTTTATCTTCAGACAGATCTTGGTTATGGTAACAAGTGGACCCCGAGTCCCAGAATCTTTTCCCATTGCCCCAGAAAGACCAGCCACTTGTCACAGGTGCAGTTGTCCAGGAATAGGGAAGCAACTTCAGTTTCGTTTTGTATTTATTCCCTCAAGTGCCCTGGGGAGCATTTGCAAATTGGGAACAATAAATAAGCTGGATTCTATACAGATATTTAATAAATAAGCTTTCAGCATCTCTTGGAAGACATGAAGAATTTCAGTGGGTTTCTTTATTTAAAAAGTTAGTTATTGGTCTACAGGAGCTGGTGAGAAATAATGGAGCTGTGCATTTCTCCAGAAATTAAAACAGTTTCAGAGTCAGTGGCAGAATTTATTTTACCACTAAGATTTCATTTTAATGGTGGTAAAATATGATACATTTTTAGAAGATGTAAATTTGGAACTGTTAAAAGAATGCTCTGTGGTTTGATCTTTTCAAACCATTTTCTTTTTGAAAATAGCATTAGTTGTGGTCACATGGACATTAAATGGTAGATATATGTTTATCAATCAAAAAAGTGTTCACTTTTTTGGAAGTGCCCATTTTCTGGATCTTCCCTCTCAATGGATAGGGAATGAAAACCTTGGTTGCCTTGTTTCCTCTTTTAAAATTTCTCACCCAAATGTCGTTCTGGGAGAGTTCCGATCACGTCTCCTGACATGATCACTGAAATTGGAGATAAGAAGTTACATGGATGATGGGATCTTGCAGGGTCTCACGAAGACAATTTGACAGCTTAATTTCCTACAGTGAGACACATCTGGAACTGGGAAGGACAGCTGTTGTTATGGGCAGTTTTTCCTGGCCATGGTTGTAAAGCCGTGAATGTTTTCGGTCTTGTTGATGAGATTTTAGAGACTGCTGGACCTCTGAGGGCTTTGGGAATGCAGCTGTGATGATGTTTCACTTTTACTTCAATGTGAATGTAGAACCAAGGACTCATCTTCATTTTATACCAAAAAGTGCCTTGTCAAGAAATTTCTGCATATTTTAAAAGATAAATATTTTTGTACACAAAGTTCAAGGGGAAATGCACTTTAAAAATCACAAGAATGGATGTTTTTTTGTGTGGTATGAGAGATTTGTTTGTATCTCAAAAGCAAAAATGTAATAAAGGTAGACAAAACAAAACTGAAACTGTCCTTCAATTCTTAGAGCCAGAGGAAGCGGAGAAATATTTTAAATCAATACATTTCCACATGTAGATCTTAGGTTTCCAAAGAGAAAGCTCACAGTCAATGTCCGAGTTAAAGATGCAAAGCAGAGAAGGAGATAACTGCTTTTTTAAAGTTGTCACAGCATAGCTAAGAAGGTAAGTGCCAGGGAAGAGATCCAGGGGCTAGTGTTATTCTGCACCCATTTTGAATGATCCAAGGTCACAGGCATTCTTATCCTGTCATTTGCACTTGAAGTACAGTGCAGACAGATGTATTCAAACAAAAGCAGGAAAACTCTAAGTGGCTATCATAGCTTTTAACTGCTTAAGCAAACAAACTCTGTAACCAGCAAAACAAACCAGACCTTGGTAGGTAGTGGATATTCACCCTAAGTGAGATTTCCAGAGCTGCTGTTTTTCCAAAGTTCAGAACAAGATGCAGACAGAATAGGGTGGGAAATTGCATCTTGAAGTTCTATGTCAACGAGTCCTTTGCCACCCCAGGGAAGTGGGTGGTGGCTTTAGTGGAAAGGCAGAGTGTATTTAAGTTTAGCAGCTAGTGTGTAGATGCAAAAAGTGAGCTCCGTACATAACTCAAGATTTTCACACATTGCCCACAGTTTGCCTTCACAGACGTGGGAAGGGTGGAGACGTTAACTCTGGTTTTCGTGAATGTCTATTTGAGGTTCAATGAGGTTTTAATAATCATTACCTAATCATAAGTTGTGAGACCAAAACCTCAGGGATGTCTGGAATAAAAACAACGTAAGAAAAAGAAAAACACATTTCTAGAGCAATGTCTCCAGAATAGCAAATGCCCAGCTCTGACTAATTCAATTGAACATTTACCACTCACCTTCCATATACAAAGCAGTGCCAGATGCTTTTTCCCCCAGTCCCTATGAAGGACATTCACATGTTCTGGATAACTGCTCTGGTGAGCATGGAGAGCCACTGGCAGGAATTGGAATTCAAGAAGTCTGGCTTCCAATCCAAGCTTTGCCACCGACCTCCTTGGCCTCCCATTTTCTGTTAGTGGCTCTGCTGAAGGGGCCCTGAGCATGTTTTGTAGGAATAAGGGGACCAGGGGCTCTAGCAGTGCCCTGAATTCTTTTGAGAGTCAGCCAACATGTTCATTTTAAAGAGGTTTCTAAATATATGCACTCATAAGAAGCACCACGTACACTATTTGTGTCCTTTCAGAATCACAGAAGTGAATCACATTCCAGACAATCACTTGGACTTCATCACATCCTCAGTGATTGGGCAAGGAAGAAATGTCAGAGAGTTCTCTTTTTTATGGGTAGAGGAAGGTTGCTGGGCACAGTGGGTCACATCTGTAATCCCAGCACTTCAGGAGGTCAAGGACAGAGGATCGCTTGAGGCTAGGAGTTCAAGACTAGCCTGGGCAATGTAGTGAGACCCCATCTCCACAATTTTTTTAAAAAAATAGCTGGCTGTGATACTGTGTCTGTAGTACCAGCTACTCAGGGGACTCAGGTAGGAAGATGACTTGAACCAGGAGTTCAAGGCTTCAGTGAGCCGTGATTGTACCACTGCTCTCTATCCTGGGCAAGAGTGTGACTGTCTCCAAAAAAATAAATAAATAAAAGAGAGAAAGAGGAGTGGGGAGGGAGAGACAATGGCTTTCAGTGAGTTTCCTCAAGTCCCAGAGCCCATCAGTGACTGAGCCAGGAGGACAACACAGGTCTCTTTTCTAATAACTGTCCTCGTGAACCAGAATCAATCTCATAGAACTGAGAAACCAAGATGGTGATTCTAAAACGTAGTCCCTCATGCTGGAGAGATGCAGTCCTGGGTAGGGGGTGAACACAATCATTTTTTTACAAGAAAAGATGCATTCCTCCCAAGGGCTTCCTCAGCATGTACCAGAACCACAGACCGCATGAAAGTATGAAAGTTAGAATAAAATGATTTGGGTCTCTGAGGGCCTGATTAAACCTCGGGATAAATTGGTGGAAGGAAACCACCAAGGAACAGTGGCTACAAGGATGTTCCAGGAGAGAAGCAGAATTATTGGCCTCAGCGCTCCCTTCTACCAGAATAGAAACCCTGTGTGGCACAGGAAGACTTTAAACCTCATTTCTTCTTGTCACCTTCCCTTGGAGGAGAAGAGAGAGAAGGAATCTCAACAGATGCCTTTTGCTTTCTGCATGGGATTCTCTGGTGACATGCTTGCATTGATGTTGTTCATTCCACAAACACTGCTTTGCCTCTCCAGCACTGGGGGCCCAGGATTTGGCAAAGGTAGGATGAGGATACAGAATTGTCAACATTCTTTGGGGCCAAGGACATCAAGATCCCAGCCCTCTATCCAAAGCTATAAGATCAAGTGGCCAGGTCAGGGGTCGGCAACCTTTTCCTGCAAAGCACCAGCTAGTGAATATTTTAGGTTTTGTGTGCCACCTGTGATCTCTGTCACATATTTGTTTTCATTTAAATGACCTTTAAAAATGTAAAAACCATTCTTAGCTCATGGGCTATACTAAAGCAGGACCAGGGCAGACTTTGTCCCGCAGGCCATGGTTTGCCAATCTCTCGTAGGAAGAGAATTGAGAGCCGACTTGCTAAAGTCTTGAGTGAGCAGATTATTTTCAGTTGCTTTCTTTCTTTTTTTAAGATGACCATACAATTTATGATCTAAACTGGGACACTTCTGAGAATGGCTCAGGCTCCTGTGAGTTAGCCAGGAGCACCTGGTGGTATACACTAGGAATACCTGGGCAAACCCAACGGCATGAACCCTGTCCGAGCTCACCTTTCCTGGTCTTTTGGGATCTTCTTAGACCTCTAGAGAGCTCAGAAAGCCCAGGCTGGTCTTATGCTGGGAAATCAGTTCTGGCTGGATCCTGGATCATGCTTTTGTTGGATGGGTTATCACAGAGTGGTGATTTAGTCTGTGGTTAGATTTGTTTTTATTGGTTGGCTTTTCTTTCCTAATTGTAGTGCTGATGGCCAAAAACTCTCTGGAAACTTCACTCTTAACAGTAGCTTGTTTAGGAGGAAAGGGGTGATTCATGGTTTGGGCTTATTTCTTACCAGTGCTTTCCCCCAACTCTCCCCTATGCCCAACAAATCGAGCCTGGCCAAGCTCCCAAGGAAGCTGTTCATTGTGGACAGAGACCCTGAGGCTGGATCTTGCAGTATTCCAAACCCAAGTCCCCAGAAAGTAAAATGAAAGCACTCCTGGGAATTTAACTAACTCCAGGGTCTCAGCTCATCTTTCTCTAGCCCAGCAAGTTCAAGAGGCCTTAATTAAGCATTCCAGGAGACCAAGGATCTAGAAATTCATCTCCGAAGTGCTCTCCCTGGGCCCTGACCCTGAAGTCCCCCCTGCTTTCCTGGTGGCATCATGAGGGGCAGGCACACATGCTCTTCCTTTTCATCTCTGTCATCCCCTCTGGCTGGTATTTACCATTACTCCCATGCTAAAGGTGGGTCTGTAATGCCGAGCACCTAACATTAGTGCTGAGGGGTCCTGAAAGGTTTTAGGAAACCCCGACATATCAAAGGGGAATCGTTCATCACCAAAGGAGGGTTAGTTTTCCAGCATCCATCCAAACACCACACATCCCTACCTGCACTGCTAGAGTTGATGAGAAAGAAAAACCGGAGGATTGGTAGGAAGATGGCCAACTAGGAACAGCTCAGGATTGCAGCTCCCAGTGAAAGTGCAGAGGGTGAGTGGACGCCGCATTTCCAGACGGAATTTTACTGCCCACAGACCAGGAGATTCCCAGGCGGAGGAGCCCCACAGGTCGCCAGCACAGCTGTTTTGGCCCGCGTGGCTGCTTGCCAATGCCCTGGCGTGGCAGTTCTCCGTACAAAATACACTGGTCCAGGTGCCCTCTTAGCTGGCAATTGGAGCCCGGAAAAGGCAGATCGCCCATTCATCTGATTTAAAAGGGGACTGAAATAGGGAGCCAGGCCAGGAGATTCCTGGGCAAAAAAAACCCGCCAGGAATCTCAGCGCCGGCAGCAGTGCAGTGAGTTGCCGCACAAGAAATCACACAGATCCCGGCGCCTTTTCAACAGGTGACTGGAACACCTGGGAGAGAGTTGACCGTTAAACTAAAAGAAAAAAAAAAAAGACTCTGAGTCAGGGAGCCAGGTGATGAGGCTCGGCGGGTTCCCCGCCCCCCCTCCACACACACAAAAAACCAGTAACTGAAAACGCTCTGGGTTGAGAGTTTCACAGCAAGCACAGCTGAAACCGGGACGGTCCAGCTCTGTGGGGGAGGGGTGTCCGCCATTACTGAGACACTCCACCACTAGGGAGGAAGTCTGCCATTGCTGAGGCAGCCTGCCATTGCCAAGGCAACCCGCTGTTGCCGAGGCAACCTGCCACTACTGAGAGAGTCTGCTATTACAGAGGCGGGCCACCATTGCCAAGGCAGTTCTAACTACACCCATATAAACAGTATTGCAGGGAAGATCACATGGCAGCTGGGCAGAGCCCACAGCAGCTCAGCAAAGCCTCTGCAGGCAGACAGTGACTAGGCTGCCTCCTCATGGGGCAGAGCAGCCCTGAAAGAAAAAAAAAAAAAGGCAGCAGCACAACGGAAACTCATAAATAAAGTCCTAACTCCCTGGGACAGAGCACCTGGGAAAAAAAAAAAAAAAAGGGAGTTTATGAGTTCTGCTGCAGCAGACCTAAACGTACCTGCCCAGCAACTCTGAATGAACAATGGAGCTCACAGCTCAGCACTTGAGTCCAATAAAGGACAGACTGTCTCCTCAAGCAGCTCCCTGACCCCTGTATATCCTAAGAGTCACCTAATAAAGGAGAGAACAGACTGACATTTGGTGGGCATCATTCTGGGACAAAGATAGCAGAAGAAGAAAATGGTAGCAACCTTTACTGTTCTACCACTGCTGCAGGTGATCCCCAAGCAAGCAGGGCCTGGACTGGACCTCAGCAGTCCTACAGCAGAGGGGCCACACTGTTAGAAGG